TTTTTTTTTTTTCGAGAAAGAAGTATTTATGCCGTTTCCTTGTTTTTCTTTCGATTTTTGTTTTTTACAAAGAAAGTGCCCAGCCCTGAAACGACCGGCCTCCTTAATCAGGCACTATCGGGCGTTCCCCTCCCCCGACCCCCAAAAGCTGCGGTGCATTAACGGCCACTAGTTTTTTTTTAGTTGGGTGAGGTAGTGGTGGTTTAAGAAAGGAGTACAGGCAACAAGAAAGAAAATCCATTGTATTCTCCCCCTTCCCAACTTGCTTACGCTGAATAAGCCTCACAGACTTGTACCACACCGTGAAGCTGTCCTTGAAAAGTTGGACCAAACTGCTCTGGGCAGTTGTCCTCCACTCTAAGTTAGTCATTCTCCTGTGAGGTTACTTCTGTTGTGCTGCTATCTAGTTTTGGTTCTGTGTTTTCAGCTATTCCGCAGACTTCTCATAGGCCCTCAGCTCATTCTCTTCTGTTGTGTATTTGCTTTTTCATCACTTCCAAATCCGAGAGCTTGTATTAAAGTCTACTGTCAATTGCCACATCAAGAAGAAAGGAACATGAATGTACTTGGTGCAACGTAATCGAAGGGTGTAGTCCTAGCAGGACTGGACAATCACAGTGCATCTCCCCGCGTTTATGATCAGATGCCTCAATGGTATTCCTTATTTGTGTTGAGTGGGGACCCTGTGGGGGTAGTTTATCTGATGATATGAGCAGAGCTCATGCTGACGAGTCTGTGATGTAGTACAGGTGGTCTGCTGAAAGGGCACACTATTTATAGCCTTGTTTGAAGTAGTCTTATTGGACTTGTCACATCAGTTGGGTATCTGTTGCTATTTCCTACCCGCCGATCTATTTCCTTTTGTTCTGTACCGTCCTGTCTTCCTGTCGCCTTCTCGTTACTACACGTCTGCACCTGCATCTCCCTTTGCTAAATTCTCTCTTATCCACTTTGGGTGGGTGTGTGGAGAGAGAGAGAGAGAGAGAGAGAGAGATGAAAGCTGGTCTATCTTTGCTGGTCCATTTTTTGCACGTTAGTTCTTGTTAGACTGAACTAGTGGTGGAGGGCCAGTAGTGCGGAGCTCGCTGGTGTGCGCTCAAAATCAAGGTAGGTTAAAAGAGAGAGATATCTCACTTCTTTTTATGGAAATGTTTGCTCCTTCTTGGCGTAAGAAATCGTCATCATGTATAATCTTCATCACCGTCATCATCATTTTTAGCAGGAGCGGCAGGAGCAGAAGGCAGTGGTTTGAGCCACACGCACATGCAACGAAGCAAGAAAGAGCAAGCGCACTTGAGAGAAGGGAGAGGTTGGTGAGGAGGATCAAAGGAGGGGATAGAGAAGGTGGAGGTGGAAGGATTCTCTGTTTTTGGCTTAGTCTTTACTCAGTGGAGGCAAGGAGTAGAATTGAGCAGGAGTCTCACTGCTGCGCGTGATTCGTTTCTTGCGGGTTAAAAGGATTAAAGAAACGGAAAAAGTCTTGCCTGTGTGTTTAATGGTATTTGTACTTGCGAAGACTCTGGGAAGACAGTGTGGGTGCTGGTTGTGGTCGTGCCCGTGTGGAGACTCAAGGGATTGGCTGGTCGCTTGCAGGAAGCCCAACTTGGAATTAATTTTGAGTTTGTGCCTGGAGCACGAGGAACAACAGGGGGAAGAGGGGAGTTTTCTCTTGTGCTCTTGCTTCTCATTGTGTTGACGTCATCATCATGGATAAGACCTTTACTGAATTGCATAACGTAAATATCTTGGGATCAGGGCAAGAAACGATTGTTCTGGGCCATGGATTTGGATCAGATCAAACATGCTGGAGGCACTTGGTTCCACATCTCGTCAAACACTATCGGGTAGTGCTTTTCGATATGGTGGGTGCGGGGAAGAGTGACTTTTCCTATTTCTCCTTCTCTCGCCATGGAACATTGCACGGTTTTGCGGACGACCTGTTGAACATTCTTGATGAGCTGGAGATAGATTCCTGCATCTACGTTGGACATTCTGTATCCGGTATGGTGGGGATGCTTGCATCTATCGAGCAGCCGCAACTCTTTCAACGTATTGTTGCCATGATGTCGTCTCCAAGGTCTGTGAGTCATTTCCTCCTCCTTCTCCTCTTCCTCCTCTTCCCCCTCCCCCTCCTCCTCCTCCGCCTCCTCTTCCTCCTCCTCCTCTGAGTACTACTACTACTACTACTACTACTACTACTACTACTACTACCACTACTACTACTACTACTACTGCTACTACTGCTGCTGCTGCTGCTGCTACTACAGCAATTGCTGTGGCTCCTATTGGCATGGCTTTTCATCCCTGTCCGATGGATTGTTGCCATGATGTCGTCTCCAAGGTCTGTGAGTCATTTCCTCCTCCTCCTCTTCCTCCTCTTCCCCCTCCCCCTCCTCCTCCGCCTCCTCTTCCTCCTCCTCCTCTGACTACTACTACTACTACTACTACTACTACTACTACTACTGCTGCTGCTGCTGCTGCTACTACAGCAATTGCTGTGGCTCCTATTGGCATGGCTTTTCATCCCTGTCCTCCTCCTTGTCTGCCTCCTACTTACTTCCCTTTCGCCTGCCTTTCACCCATCCACTTGCTCCTCACCTCTTCTATATGAGTATATTGACCCTACCTTTTGTTTATCCCTCACTGTTCTCATCCCTCTGACTCTCTACCTCCTTGCGGAAGTAATGAAAAGACTGGAAAATCTCTTTGATTGAGAAGAGATCGAAACGAGCACCAAAAAAAGGCTGGAAAAACTCTTTGATTGAGAAGAGATCAAAACAAGCACGAAAAGTTCAATGAAGTGAAAGGAAAGAAGCGGCGTGAGAGTATGCAAGCAAAAGAAAGATCAAATAAGAAGACAAACATGTTCAGTGGTGATTCTTATGGCACATAAGTTTGGTTGCTGTCCAAGAATATTGCGGTTGGTTCGGGCGGGGGGGGAGCATGTACAAACAGAGGCAGGTCAGGTTTTGGAACATGTATAGTTGTGCCAGTTTGTGGCTTTCTTGACTCTTCCCCGGTGGCAATTACTCCCAGCCCCGTCTTCTTCTCAGCAGACGATTTATTTCTGTATATGCTGTTGTTCTTACTTTATGACTAGTAAATGTGCTGAGGAGTTTACTAAGAAGTATATCATTTGAATTTTGAAAAGAAATTACTGCATGGAGCTTTCGCAATAAGAAGTCTATCATTCAAATTTTGAAAGAAATTACTGGATGGAGCTTTCACAAATATTGAGCGAGGATGGTTGTCCATTTGAGGGCAAACTAGTCCACTCCTCCCTTTTCCGTTGTTTCCGTTATTTTCACTGTTTTCTATTGTGTGGAAGGGAGAATTATAGTCCTGGGACTTCTAAGTGCAGGGGGGCAGATTGTAGTAGTCGTACTGCTGAGTTGGTTTTCATCCATACCTGAAAGACTTGGGTATCAATGCAGCCAGCCTGTTTCAGGATTCGCTCCGCCTGAAAGCCATGCTAGTTCGTCCCTGCTCTTTTTCAGGACTCCCTGTTTTGTAGCTCGAGGACCTTCGGCCTTGGGAGAGCTTTCAATCTACCTTACCATTATTATTATTATTATTATTATTATTATCTACGTTGCAGAACGTACACGTACAGGGCCTTTCCGTACGAAATGTACAAGTAATATCTGTACGGGATCTGTACGGGAACCTGTACGGGAACCTGTACGGGAACCTTTTCGTCTTGTACGCCCCGGTATGAAAAAAAAAAAAAAAGGTCATCAAAAAAATCCGAAAAAAACATATGTGATGCAACAACACAAAACAAGCAACATTTGGCTGAGCATCATCTTCAGATTCTTATTAGAATTTGAGAAAACAAATAAAAACAATACCGGATTAAAAAAAAAAAAAAAACCTCGTATGGGGCCCCTAGCGTACGAGCAGGGTACGAGTACAAGAGTACGAATCCCTACTCGTACGAGGGTGCGTACAAGTGGCAACACAGATTATTATTTTATTATTATTATTATTATAACAGTAAGGACTGTCGGAGCACTACTCTCCAGTCTGACGCAGGTCACGACTTAGAAGTGTTTTTTTTTTTTTTTTCCCTTGGAAACTTCTTGAATTATCCTATCCTGCAAGAAAACTAGTCCATATCCGTATGATACTGCACTAATTGCTCCGCCTGTAAGTGGTTTCTTTAACAATTCTTTCTGGAATTGGGTTTTTCTTATATTGAAAATGCCATAAAACACAATCCAACATCCATGACACGATTGGCCCCTGCATAAGGATGACACGCAACAATATATAAAAGAAAGGGAACGGTCAAAATATAAAAGAAAGAAAAAAAATCCATAACACGAAGATCAGAATCACCATCAAGAAAAGAAAGGATTTCGAGATGTAGGATAGGGGTCAGTCCAGAATGCCTGCCGTCAGGACCACACGTGACAGTTCCCCGTCATGCAGCAGCTTGCCCCCTGAAACCTTAGCCTTGTTTGTGGGCTCGGGCTAGCTGCTTGTCAGCTTCGCTCTGCGAAACTTGGACAATATTTCACCCAAAAAAACAAGAAAGAAGAAAGAATGAAAAGGGGCCAGAAGCCTAGCTCAGTTGCATCTGGTGTCAGATCATTCTTTTTGTTGTTGATGGTTTTCTGGCTGTTGGGAATTGTGTGAACTGGTAGCTTGTGGAGTCTTGCATCTGGTGTACACGTAGGTGACATTATCTGATTTGCTGATATCGTGCCAGAAAGGGAGAGAGAGATTACTTTGACATTATTTGATGAGATTCTGAGAGGAAATCTGCAAAGGGTGAACCTTCCGTCCTTTTTTGAGAGAGGCTTCCCCCCAGTGAGTGTGGGTTATTATAGCCTGCTTTGGTTTTGCAATACAAATATCATAGCGGGCAGTGACAGCAATGATATCGACAAGATGGATAAGATACTGACAGGATTTCTTCTTTATAGATGGGGTTTGAGGCTGCTTCTGCTTGCGGAGGCAGTAGAAAGCCCTTGGAGTTTAGTGGATGTGTAAGTAGGTGTGGGACTCGATATAGTTATTTTGGTTTCGCATTTCTCTATTGCTAGGCGTCATGGAGTATCAGCTGTGGGGCATGAGTTGGTGCCTGCCTCCAGCTGCTGGGGTCGAGGCATATTTTTATTGCCTAAAGAATCTCTTTTAGTGATTCCCCAGATCATTAAGGTATTCCCTGAATCGTCGAGGTGCAGCCTGCTCCTGAGTTGATGAGAGTAAAGGTCAAACGGTCTTACGGTTACCCTTTGTGCTGTCCCCAGTTGTCCATCTGCAGTTTGCTGGGTGGTTTTGTTTGACGCTTTGCCCGGGCTGTACATGAACCTGGTCGTTACATGAACCTGGTCGGTACATGGCCATTGTGTGTGCCTCCGGTTGCTGGGAGCTGTGGGACGAGGATGCCATAGGTCGGTCTTTTTTGTTTTATTTTATTTTTTCTTTTCAAAGAAAATTCATTGGAAACCGTCCCTTAGGCAGACAGAAACTCGCACGATGCTTCCCTCCGTTATGGCCGAGGGACCCCGAGAAAGCGGAATTGATTGCTTCTGCAGATGGGGGGATTTACCTCTGCTCCACCCCTGCTGTTTTTTTGAAACTTCTCTGCTCCTAGAACTGCAAATTCTCACTCAGCAACTCCTCCTGTTAGCTTATCTGGCTGCCTGATTTATCTTTTCACTTTTCGAGAGAAGGCTCTGTCCTACTGCTGTGTTATTCGTAACTCCTATTCTGTCTTATCTGGCCGCAATTGCAGTCGGATGCGGATAGGGCCAGATTTGGATGAGTCTGACTGCAATCACACAGTTACCCCTAGAGCTTTGGTGAGAAAGTCCTATCCCATCTTTTCTTCCTGCCTGTCAGGGCAGGAGCTGTGATGACAGTGCTGAGGGGGTGTTATGTCCCCAAGCATTTCTTCTGCCAGTTCATTTTATATTTCTATTTTAGTATTTTGTCTTTCTTGTTTTTGGTGGGCGGTGCTGCCAGGCCGCATATTATTCCACTCTCAACCCTTTGTCATTTTTTCGCCCTTTTTTGCTCCGCCTGTCTCTGGTGCTTGAACGTGGCCAGATAAAGTAGGGCTGGGTTTGTGGATAGTTGGGCTGGGGTAGCATGTGAGTGAAAACACTGGCCCTCCTTTTTGCTCCATTTGCTGTCAGCTGGTCCAGCAGTTCAGTTTCACAGAGGCCCAGTTTCACATAGGCTGATACTGGTACCACCCTCAATTTTCCAAGGGGTCGTGCCGGTAGCTTTCAGGCCCGGCAAAATTCGAATTTTATGGGCGTACATTTAGCCTAGGATGTACTGGTGGTTTGAACCACCAGTGTGGGTAAGGCCTCTCTGAGGGTGCTAGCATCCTTAACGTTCGGGACCAAGTGCATGTGCACTGGTACCATTAAAATGGGGACATGGCCTCTCCCTGCACCAGGGCACACTTCACTTGGAGTAAATGGGTAACATGCCCTGCTCTGGTCAGGCCCACCTAATGCCTTCGAAGTGTAATGGAAAAAGAGTGGCCCGTTTTTGAAAAAGAATACAAGGGTCTAGCGGAAGGGTCTTGAAGGAGTTTATTCCAGCCTCGATTTAACCGAGCAATCTCAACCGCAGGTTTAAGACAGTTGCAGAGTGGATTTCCTGGTTATGCACAGCCACCTTATGAGTAAGCAGAAGCGTCTCAAACACCCTTTTGCAATCCCCTTTTGTTTCGTTTTGTGACGGTTTGCACCTATACGTGTTCTCCTGATGAGTTGATCGGAATTCCGTGAAACACAGGTCATCTCTTGTTTTATTTATGATAATACACTTCTACCAGCCTGGAAGGTAGTGAACACTCTTTGACACTCCCTGGCAGAAAAGGTGACTGAAGTGTTTCAGTAATTGGGGCTCCACTGTCACAGAATAGAGACGAGACGTACAGGAAAAAGGAAAATTTCACATGGCAGAGTGCATTTAGGCGGATTCCGCGGACAGCTCACGTGGACAGGCGGGGCACAGGGAAAACGTCACCAAGAAACTGCTCAAGTTCTTCAGCCAGTGCAGCACTACCTTGATTGCTCTCCTGGATGCAAGTGCATGTACGGTCGGCCC